GGCTTTGGAACCGATCTGCGTCAGAACTACTGGCTCTAGCATGACTTTGGGTAACGTACTCTCTGAGCCTCAGCTTCTTCATTTGTAAAGTGGGGGTAATGTGTACCTCTCTTGTGGCTGCTGTAGAGTAAGATCTTCTGTCAGGTACCCAGCACATAGCTGGCACTGGCACATTATTTCCACCCATGTCCCTTTTGAATTTAATTGGCACAGCGTTGTAGAAGTTGTGAATTAGTCTATATTTTGAGGCCCAAGACTTAAGATAATTCATAATTTCATGGGAAATGTGATTTTCTACAGTTGTGTAAAGACCCAGGACAGGCCACCAGCAGACCTGAGTCCCTCTCCCAGTTCTGCGACTACCTGGTTGTGTGACAGGAGGTCAGAGTGCCTCAGCCTCATGTGTGTGAATCTGCAAGGTGAAGAGTTGGAATAGGATTAAACCTCCATCCTGCAGGTTCTTCGATCTTTGACTATCTGCTTCACACTTGTGCTATTATTTGTTTATTACACTTTCTTTCAAAGTCGACTTCAGACCCTGGCCGGGTAGCTCAGTTGGTTAGTGTCATCCTGATACGCCAAGGTGTGGGTTCCATCTATGGTCGGCACAGACAAGACTCAACCAGTGTGTAAGTGGAACAACAGATAACGTTGGAACAACAAATCTCTCGCCCCCTTGTCCCCTCTCTTCTCTAAAAGTCAGTAAACAAACAAACAAAAATTTTAAGTTGATTTTAAAAGAAAACTTTGTATCGTTACTGTAAATGTCATAAGTGCAAGATAACAACAACAGTCGGTAGAATGAAAACAGATCAGTGTGATCGCATGCCTGCCAGATACTGCTACCTGCCGAGGCTGAGTCTGCGGCCCCTCATACTCCTGAAGGGGGAAATTAGCACATGTTGGCGAGATGGTAACCACAGAGTCACACTCAAATGAGACGTTGTACACTCTCTCAGAGGGCCCCAGGCCTTGGAAAGGACGTAAGTGAGTCGGTGCCATTTGGTGCTGTGGGGGGGGGGGGGTGCGGGGGGGTAGCCACTCCTCACTTTGGAAAACATTGGACTCTATCATAGACCTGGAAGGGACTTGAAAGGTCATCTGCCCCGCCTGTCATTTGGTAGGTGGATGAGTTGGGCCAGGTGTAGAAATGGCTGCTCATGACCTTGAGCCAGCAGCGTGAGGATCCTTGCCTGACTGCTCGGGCCGCGGCAGAGCGACCCCTGGAACGTGGAGAGCTCCATCACTGGCCGGGGGATTTCCCAGGTAACTCGAGTGTGCAGCCAAAGTTACAGCAGCTTTTTATTTATTCTCTTTATTGATTTTTAGAGAGAGGAAGGGAGATGGAGAGAGATAAAAACATCGATGAGAGAGAATATCCATTGGCCACCTCCTGCAAGCCCCCGACTACGGATCAGGCCCACAACCTGGGCATGTGCCCTGACCGGGACTCGAACAGGCGACCTGTTGGTGCATGGGTCAATGCTTAACCACTGAGCCACACTGGCCGTGCTGTAGCAGCTTTTAAAGCTCCCGGAAGACTGATAGGCAGCCAGGAACGAAAACAGCGGCTCTGCTGAATGATCTAGAACTTCGGTTCCTCCTCCCGCACAGAACAACAGCTGTCAACATCAACGCTCTGAGGATTTACCTGTAAAATTCATCTTCTGTGCCAGCAGGACAGTTTATTAGCTAAATGCCCATCAACCCAACTCTCCTTGGGAAAATAATTCTAATAGAGAGATAATTATTTGTATTTTCCTGGTTGTTAAACACAGTTTATACGCTGGGATGAAATATAATTTATATGTTGGGTTCGGGTAACTGAGATTTACCAGAGAGTAAGAATTAAGATCTCTGGTGTGTTCCTCTGCATCAGCTTGGTCCCACCCCCTTCTGTTAGCTCGCCTTACTGCATTTCACCAAATTGCCTCGAGAGGAGACTGTAATTTAAGATTGTGAAAATAGGAATGCAACATTTCCCAGTTTTCAGATTTCTTCTAAATTCAGATCCGAGTCATCGCAGATATTCTGTTGTTAAATGGGCTTGTTACACAGTGTATTGCCATTGGTTAAGGAACGTGAAGGGATTTTGTTATACTAAAAAAATGTTTCTGTGATGAAAAATCAGTCTTCTGTTTTCCTAAAATATGTATGAATTAATTTACCATAGAATTCTCTCTCTGACAAAAATCAAGTGGTTTCACTCTTATGTGGGATATAAAATGGAAAGCAACAAATGAACAGACAAGACAAGTAAACAAAAACTCATAGACACAGACAACAGTCTGGTGGTCACCAGAGGGGAGGCAGTGGGGGGAGGTAGTAAAGCGTAAAGGGGGGTCAGGTGTATGGTGATGGAATGAGATTTGACTTTGGTCAACACACAATGCCATGTACAGATGATGTATTGTAGAATTGTACACTTGAAACATATTGATTTTATTAATCAATATCACCCCAGTAAATTTATTTTAAAAGTTTTTAAAAAGAGCGGCCTGGCTGGTTTGGCTGAGTGGTTGGAGCATCGGCCCGTGAACCAGAGAGGCCCGGGTTCGGTTCCCGCTGGGGGCACGTACCTGGGCTGTGGTTTGTCCCGGCCCTGGTTGGGGTCGTGTGGGTGGTGGCCACTCCATGTGTCTCTCTCGCATCAGTGTTTCTCTCTCTCTCTTCCTCTCTTGCTCCCGCTGCTCTATCTGAAGATAAAAATGCAAAAATGTCCTCGGGTGAGGATTAAAAAAAAAAAGTTTTTCAAAAGAGCAAAAAAATAAATTATCTCTCTAATTATTGAAAACAGGTTACAATGCAAGTCTACCTTTTAAAATGTTATGTTTTAAAAATATTTTTACTCTGTAGAAAAAAGTTACTGTATTTACACCATCTCCTTTGGAAAAACTTTCACCCTTAAACTGTGGTGTTCCTACATTCTGAAGACATTTTTTTTTTTTTTTTAATCCTCACCCGAGGACATTTTTCCATTTTTTGTTCAGGTAGAGTGGGAGGGAGAGAGAGGAACAGAGAGAGAGAGAGAAACATCGATGCGAAAGGAACACATCGAGTGGCTGCCACCCGCACAACCGACCAGGGCCGGGGACAAACTGCAACCGAGGTACGCGCCCTTAGCGGGAACCGAACCCGGGTCTCTCAGGACTGCAGGTGGACGCTCTAACCACTGAGCCAAACCAGCCAGGGCCTGAAGACATTTAAAACAAGTTTTTATGCTAGCAGTTAGCCTATGGAAGCTAATACAAGAAACCCTGGTCTTTTGATAAAACATTTGTATAAATTTTGATAGTATTAAAACTTTTTAAGTTCTGCATAAAATTGAGTATCAAGTATATGTATTCATCTGAGCAATGAAGTAATAAATTACTTAATCCCCCCCAAAAGGTTTTCTTGAGAAAACCAGGGAATAAAACTATAATTTTATAATATTTTAAAATTTTTTCTTAGATGAAATAGTGCCCTTTGCAACAACATGAGTGGATTTTGAGGATATCATGCTAAGCGAAATAAGGCAGATGGAAAAGGACAGGAACCATATGATTTCACCTATGTGGGATAGAAAACGGAAAGGAACAAACAAAAAACTCATAGACACAGATAACAGAGTGGTGGTTACCAGAGGGGAGGTGTGGTGCGCAAGAAGGTAAAGGGGGTCAAATATATGGTGATGGAAGGAGACTCGACTTTGGGTGGTGAGCACACAATGCAATATACAGATGATGTAGTATAGAATTGTATACGTGAAACATAATCTACCAACGTCACCCCACTAAATTTAATTAAATTAAAAAAATTTCTTGAGAAAACTAGAGCATAAAATTATAGTTTTATAGTCTTAAACTACTCTGTTTCACCAAACTGAGAATTCACCTCAGTTTCTTGTTAGAAAAAGTCATGGCTGCCCTAACATATGAATTCACAAAGTGCTGTTTACTGTTCTTTCATTTGCTCCTTGCACCAGGAAATTTGTCTAAGAAACAAATTACTTCCCTCATTCAAAGTCCGGCAGTAGAAGCTTATTGGCTTAGCTGGGATCAGGTGCCCACCCCCAGACCAATCAGTGGCCCAATCAGAGGGGCCACTGTGCACTCAACTCCTTTGTGAGTTGTCAACCATGAACACCTCTATTATGGGTGACTGATTCATTACCAGAATGTTTGGTGAATAGAGATACAGAAAATGGGAGCTTGTTGGGCTTGAGGCTGGGGGCACCAAATACTCAGGCACCCAGAACCTGGGCTCTTACTCTGCTCCTTTTCTGGAATCCACTCTGGTTCTTGTCTTTCAATTGTGACTGCACCTTGGGCCTGTTGCAGTTCACCAGAACACAGTTCATTCTATGGTAGCTTTTTTTTAACAGAGACCTAAACCAGAAATGTTTTGCTCAAGTATAATCTTGAGGTTTTTCTTCCAGAGCTGGCATGGTAACTACTCAATGGTGTCAGTAATCCAGGCTCCTCTTGTTGCTTTGCTGTGTGTGATCTCATTCCCAAGACCTCCTTATAGCCCAATATGGCTGCTGGAGACCCAGCAATCACATTCTGTCTTCTAGCCACAGAAAGAAATGATACAGAAAAAAGAGTCAGACAGCACCTTATAGTAGCTATGTTATAATCTTCATGGATTTGAAATGTTGCCTGGGAGTCTTGGAGAACCCTCTTAGTGTTATTTTTATGCGATCTTTTAGGTAGATTTCTCTTCTGCCTCTGATACTGTGTTCTAAGATAGGTTGATGCTTACTAGTTTCAAGGGGTGGTGTTTGACCTTGTACCAAATTCTAGGGCTTTCCTGATCATAAGGGGTGGTATTTCCAGGTGAAAACAACTAAGTTTCACATGGTTTGTGGCTGATACAACATCACATCTTGAGTTATAAGCTTAGTGCTTGAATCAAAATCAGAAAGTAAGACTTCTGAATTAGAATCTAATGCATTTTCTCTTCTGCCCAAGTGAGTTTAATTTTTTTTTTTTCTTTTTCCACTGTTTCTTTTGTAGGGGTTCAGCTGTTGCAAAAATAGTTGGGAATAATGTCAAGAAACTTCAGAAGTTTGCCCCCACGGTCAAGATGTGGGTCTTTGAAGAAACGGTTAATGGGAGAAAACTGACAGACATCATAAATAATGACCACGAAAACGTGAAATATCTCCCTGGACACAGGCTGCCAGAAAATGTGGTAAGACTTGGGGATGAAAAGCACATTTGGTTCATCTGAACGTTACGCTCAGCTGAGATAGCACTTGGGACTGGAGGAAATGCAAAATCTACCTTCCTCTTTCCCTCTTCCTTCCACCTACCAACTTTTCTGCTTGGTCGGTTTTCGTTTTCCAGACTCTGAAATGGACTTTGCTTCAGTGTGCTAGGGCTGCCATAACAAAGTACAGTGGACCAGATGCCTTGAACAACAGAAATGTGTTTGCTCACCATGCTGGAGCTCAGGTCTGAGACCAAGGAGTCAGTAGAGCTGGTTTCTTCTGAAGCTCCCTCCTTGACTTGTAGGTGGCCACCTTCCTGTGTCTTCACATGGTCTTCCTTCTGCGTTGTCCGAGTCTGAATCTCCTCTTACAAGGACACCTGTGGTGTTGTATTAGGGCCCATCCTAAGGACCTTGTTTTAATTTAATTACCTCTATGAAAACCCTGTCTCCAAATACAGCCATGTTCTGAGGTATCAGGGTTATGACTCAGGAATTTCGGGGGGACACAGTACTTTCTTGGCATTGAAAGTGCTGGTCACATCAAGGTTGGACCCACAGCCTTGCCTTTGGCCGCCCACATACCCTGGTAACCCCTAAGTACGTGGGCTTGGATCCACCCCCTAGGACCCTTGACCCTGGCTTTTAATTAAAATCAGGGTCAAGGCCTACATCACAGAAGGAGATCAGAGAAAAGAGAAAATTGTAAGACAGACACTTTAAAATTCCAGCTTATTAGGTCTAGGAGGGAAAAATATAGGTTACTGCCTGGCCTCATTCCAGTGGCTTGCGGGGAAGGAAGAAATGAGCATGAGGAACAGAGAAGGTACCCAGCTGCTTGCCTGAGTGGAGTTGATGAACTTCTTTTGCCAGCTTCGCCCCTTGGTAGCTTGTGTGAAAACCAGACCGTTGCGGCAGCCTCATGCCTGTGGTTAACCAGTGAAACTCATCACTGCACACAGTCACTCAGCAAACCTCCACGAGCAGGTGCTGGGCATGCAGAGGACCGTGGCAGGTGCTGCAGACACAGGAGTAAGGTGGCCTTCCCTCATGAGTCCAGCAGGGCGGGCAGCTTTTAAACTGCTAGAGGCTGCGAGTCCGGAGCTACCAAGGCCTTGCTCACTGAAGAGTTTTGTTTGGCTTTTGGTGACAGTGTTCATGAGTGTCAAGCACTACGATAAGCAGTTCACATATATCGTCACATAACTCCCAGTAGCCCGCCCAGGTTTGGTAAAGAATAAAATTCAGCCACGTAAACTTGAAGACCTCATTGGCTTTAGTGAGCTATTCATGAGTCCTAGCTAGCATTCCTCCTAGCAACTAGAGCGGTCTCAGAGGAGCTGTACGAAACGGAAGGTTTAATGGGCAGAAGGAGACTGGGACAGGAAAGTCGAAAGGGTGGGTATTTCAGGCGCACTCACCTCCCTGAAGGGGAAGGCAGCTCACCTCACTAGTGCTGATCAGGAAATCCAGAGTGATTGGTTGAAAAACTCCACTCCTGGGAGAGGCTGGAACTGCATTTGGGTTAGTCACTAAGTTTTGGTTTGGTGATCTGGCTTATTAGCAAAAGTGACTCCCTTTTGGCCTGTTGTTTCTTTTTTTTTTTTTAACAGGTTGATACTATTAATTTTCCTATTATGATGATGATTCTGATTTTTTTTTTTTATCCTTATCTGAGGACATTTTTCCATTTTTTGTACAGACAGAGTAGGAGGGAGAGAGAGGAAGAGAGAGAGAGGGAAACATCGATGTGAAAGGGACACATCGAGTGGCTGCCACCCGCATGACCAACCAGGGCCGGGGACAAACTGCAACTGAGGTACATGCCCTTAGCGGGAACCGAACCCGGGTCTCTCCGGACCGCAGGTGGACGCTCTAACCACTGAGCCAAACTGGCCAGGGCATGATTCTGATTTTATAGGGGAAGAAACCAAGGCTCAGAGAGGTTCATGAACTTGTCCAAAGCCACACAGCTAGAGGCTAGGGTTGGAACTGGGTTCCTCGAGGACTCATTTCTGAGCCTGCTGAATGTTGCCTTCTAGACAAGGGTGATTTCTCTTCCCTGTTACTGAACTAGGGCCAGGCAGCATCTCCCCATGGTTATTAAATTTCCACTTACAGTTGACATTTAATATTATCTCATGTTAGTTTTAGGCCCGTGGTTATTCTTGATGCTGTTGGTGGGGAGAGGAGGGGTCCCTAGGGCTCTGACTTTGGAAGCTGAGTTATCCAAATGTCTGATGGAAAGATTAAGGGAGCAGCTAGGTATTCGCACTGCAGTGCAAGGCCGTCTGTGTGCCCGCCGGCTTGAGCAAGTGAGGGGTCACCTGTGGAGGAGGGAGGGGCCCGTTCCCCCTAAATTGTATGGGTAAAGTGGGGAAGCCTTCTTTCCTGGCATTTTTGAGCCTAGTCCCAAACTGGGGGTTCTCTTAGCAAGGGAGAATATAGAACAGGCATCAGGTTAACTACAAACAATCTCTGCTGGAGACTGTATGCTCCTGTGTCCTCTCTAGATTCCCTCATCTCTGTCCGTGTGTCCACGTGTCTCTGCCCGTGTTTAAAACCCATTTTTGTATTTATCTGAAGGGAAAAAATCATCATAAGAGCTGGCCTGTATTGAGTGCATGCCAGGTCCCAGGCATTTTTCGGAATCATATATGCTTCACGAGAGCGCTCTCAAAGTGCTTACCCAAAGAGTGTTTACTGTGGGCCTGTTCACAGGGGTGTGGGCAGAGTCGAGGGAGCCAAGAGGCCTCGGGGAAGTGTCCAGAGATTAGCAACAGCAGGCAGCCATGACCGCCTCTGAAAGGCATGGGGACACGCCGCTGTCACCAGACCAGCCTGACGAGCTTAGAGATGTGGCAGAGGGGCTCCCCATAGGGAGGTGTAAGTGTAGAAGGCAGCCAGGCCAGCATGCCTGGGAGCCCGGAACGGAGTGGCCCCGGAGGCTCAGAACACCTGGCCTGTGTCTCATCCCACCTTGGATCCCCTGACAGTGTCCCCGTTTGGAAAGCAGAGAGCAAGGGTCCCAGAGGAAACAGTCCACAACAGGCAGCCTCCCAGGAAAAGGGGGGGGGGGGCCACAAAGAAGGGCAGAAAATGCATTGGGGGGTTGAGAGAGCAACTGAGAACAACCCGCACAGTTTTGTGATGACTCCCTTTTCCAGGTAAGGAAACTGAGGCAGGGAGAGGCAGGACAGAGGCAGGACCCTCCTGGCTTCGGGGGCAAGTCGCGAATGAGGAAGGCAGAGCACAGCGCCCTTGTCCACTGCCTGCCTGCACGGCACGTGCACACAGTGGGCCCCGATAGAGGGTCAGAGAGCGGGGTCACTTGGATCCGCACGGTTCAGTGTAGGAGTAACCTTTACTCCTCCGCGCCCTGGCAGGTCGCCGTCTCCAACCTCAGGGAGGCCGTGCAGGACGCAGACCTGCTGGTGTTCGTCATTCCCCACCAGTTCATCCACAGAATCTGCGAGGAGATCACCGGCAGGGTGCCCAAGGGAGCCGTGGGAATCACGCTTATCAAGGTGACGCGCCCACCGCCGGGGCAGGAAAAACATGGGTGGACATTCGTTCCTGGGGGATTTCACTTCCTCTCTCTCATCTGTTGGAGATCAGGAAGTGAAGGGGAGGTTATGGCCGGTTTGGGGTTTTTTGTTTGTTTTTGTAAGGATACCTAGATGGTAATAAAAAACATGCATCTCAGGAACCTAGCTTTCACCGTCAAGGTGGATATACATGTTCATTTTCTTGTTATTCTTTAGGCAGTACATATGCAGCATATATGTTTTCTCTTATTATTATTATTATTATTTATCCTCACCCAAGGATATTTTTCCATTTATCTTCAGATAGAGTGGGAGGGAGGGGGGAGGAGGAGAGAGAGAGAGAAACATTGATGTGAGAGAGACACATCAACTGGTTGCCTCCTGCACGACCCTGACCGGGGCTGGGGACGAACCACAACTGAGGTGCGTGCCCTTGGCTGGAATCGAACTCGTAATTCTTTGGTCTGCAGGCCGATGCTCTAGCCGCTAAGCCAAACAGGCCACGGCTATGTTTTCTCTTGTAAGAGATATGTTTCAAGATGTGTATGCCATTGGATGCCTGAATCTGGATAACTTGTATAAAGCATCTGTCTCATACCTCTTGTCTGTGGGTGGTTTGTTTTCCTCTAACTTCTTGCCCTCTTTATAGGGCATCGACGAGGGCCCGGAGGGGCTGAAACTCATTTCTGACATCATCCGAGAGAAGATGGGGATTGACATCAGCGTGCTGATGGGAGCCAACATCGCCAACGAGGTAGCAGCAGAGAAGTTCTGTGAGACCACCATCGGTGAGCGCGGGCTGGGGCGTGGGGGCCGGACCTCTGGTGTTTTAACTTGTCCATTTTCCGTGTCTGGTGTTTTCTGTAGTGGACTCTTCTCTGACCCTTAACGTTCCTGGGGTGGACCCTTGAATGGAGTGGGGATTTTAGGTAATAGGCCACTCTGTGGGACTGAAGTGTTTCACAATCTCCAGAATGAAAAGAAAGCCAAGGAGCCCATTTGGACCCATCATGATCCAGGGACAAATTATCAAGGTTAAACATAAAAATGATGCTGCTTGTAGCAAGAAGCAGGTAGTGACATCCATGGTGGGGCTCCCCTGGCCTTAGAAACCCAGCTTTTCTTTACTCATAGTTGCCAGTGAGAACTGAAAATTGGTGGGAATGATCCCTGTGTTCAAGGTGAACCAGCTAATACAGAACCCAGGCGTGAACTTGGGTCTCGTGTTTCCTGGGACAGAAAGTTTCTGTAGTCTTGCACAACTTTGGTGTTGTAAAAAGCTTTGTTTCTTTAGGGCTTTGGAACTCTCAAGTGCCCGTGCACCATGTTAAAGGGCTTGTAGAAGGGGAGCATGTTTGTATTTGCAGTTGTTTTGCAAGAGTTTATTTAAATTTGCCTGCCACTCCGGAACTTCCGCCCTAGCCAAACACTCGAGCAGTGTGAATCAGTTCTCCCTGGCAGATTTGTAACAGGAAACGCTGAGAGAGGTCAGGCTCACCTGACTAAGGTGGGAGACATGGGAAAATGTAGCTCCCGATTCTCACATATGTCTGCAAGTGAGGACATTTTTACTTTTTTTTGGCGTATTTCCCCCTATTTTTAACATTGATTTTAGAGAGAAGAAGGGAGAGAGAAAGAGAAAAACATTGATTTTTGTTGTTCCACTTATTTATGCATTTATTGGTTGATTCTTATATGTGCTCTGACAGGGAATCGAACCCACAACCTCAGCATATCCAGACAAGGCTCTAACCAATTGAGCTATCCAGCCAGAACAAGGGCCCCTTTATTTTTAATTGCATAGGTATTACATCATTATTGTGGAAAATAGAGGTACTCAAAAGAAAACAAGTGTTATTATTTAATTTTCATTATTTTTTCTATTTGTCCAGACAACTTATGTTTGTGGTTTAGTTATATATTGTTTTATAATTGCTTTATTAATATATAACAAACAACTTTCAGAGTCCATCAGTATACATCTTCATAGCTGCATTGACAATCCCATATATGTGGGCACTTAAAACTTTTTTGTTGTTGTTAATCCTCATCCAAGGATATTTTTCCATTGATTAAAAAAATTTTTTTTTTCTTTATTGATATTAGAGAGAGAGAGAGAGAAACATGGATGAGAGAGAACATCGATTGGCTGCCTCCTGCATGCCCCTCACTGAGGATTAGGCCCACAGCCTGGGCATGTGCCCTGATCAGGAATCAAACCAGTGACCTCTTGGTACATGGGTCGATGCTCAACCACTGAGCCACACTGGCCGAACCCATTGATTTTTAGATAGAGTGGAAGGGAGGGAAGAGAGAGAGAGAGAGACATCAATGTGAGAGAGACACATTGATTGGTTGCCTCCCGCATGACCCCAACTGGGGTGTGGGAATCGAACCTGCAGCCCTTTGACCTGCAGGCTGATGCTCTAACCACTGAGTCAAACAGGCCAGGGCAAAACTAATTTTTTGAAAAATAATAGTTTTGGAGAGGAGAGGTATCATAAGTAATATAAAAAAGACAACAAAGTGGCCTATAATATTGTTTCCCAGGTTGATATTTTCAAAAGTGATACAGCCATAGGTAAGGAAATTCAAACAATATGAGAAGGTATAAAATTAGAATTAAACTTTGGCTGGTGTGGCTCTGTTGGGTGTCATCCCAGGCACCAAAAGGTTGCTGGTTCAATTCCTGGTCAGAGCACATGCCTGGGTCGCAGGCTTGATTCCCAGTAGGGGGCGTGCAGGAGGCAGACAGTCAGTGTTGTGCTTTCACATTGATGTTTCTCTCTTTTCTTTCCTTCCTTTCTCTCTAAAAGTCAATAAAAATAGCCCTGGCCGTTTTGGCTCAGCAGTTGGAGTGTTAACCTGCGGACCAGAGAGTCCCAGGTTCGGTTCCCTCTGGGGGCACATACCAAAAAAAAAAAAAAAAATCAATAAATATAAACAAATGTTTAAAATTAGAATTAAGATGGTAATTTTCCACCTACTCCCTCTTCCCAGAGGGAATCACTGTTAGCAGTGTGTAAGTTATCCTTCCAGAAACAAATTTACATATGTATATATACCACTGTATATATGTTTTATTTTTTCACCATTAATCCTCTTATCCATCTGTGATTTTAATATAGCCTGTGAAATTATTATGTAAATCTGTTTTTCAAAAAAATTTGTTAACTAGTTGTTCCAATTCAGTCCCAGTTGCCAATAATCAATTGGCAATCAGTTTTGCCAATTAGGTGGTTGGAATTGACTGGTTACCCCAATCATTCCGTAAGGCGGGGCCTTCCTCTCCAGTCCTTGATTTAAACCTCATTTCTTTTTTTTTTTTTTATCCTCACCCGAGGATATTTTTTCCATTTTTTGTACAGATAGAGTGGGAGGGAGAGAGAGGAAGGGAGAGAGAGTGAGAAACATCGACGTGAAGGGACACATCGAGTGGCTGCCACCCGCACGACCAACCAGGGCCGGGGACAAACTGCAACCGAAGTACGTGCCCTTAGCGGGAACCGAACCCGGGTCTCTCCGGACCACAGGCCGACGCTCTAACCGCTGAGCCAAACTGGCCAGGGCTAAACCTCATTTCTACCTGCAGACTTTGGCGAGGGTTTTACCTGCCTCTAAGCCCTGTTTGTTGTAGGCAGGTGTCCAGTGGGGTGCAGTAGGCTGTTGGATGGAAAGACAGACCAGTGCGCAGAAGTCACAGCTCTTTCCCTCTGGCCCTGCTTACCCAGAGCTTCCACTGCCTTCGCTGTGGTTGGCCAGAGGTTGACAAGAGCGACCTGAATTAAATCAAGTAAAACATTGAAAGTAAGATAGAGCGCGGAGAGGGTGTTTTCTAAATTGTCTTATATAACCTGAATTTAATCGTGAGGAAACATCAGAAAGCCCAAAGTAAGGAACATGTTACAAAACAACTGGTCCACAGTCTTGTATTTTTTTTTTTTTTAATCCTCACCCAAGAACGTTTTTCTATTTATCTTCAGATAGAGTAGGAGAGTGGGAGGGAGAGAGAAACATCGACGTGAGAGCGACACATCGCCACACATCGACTGGTTGCCTCCCACATGACTCCAACCAGGGCCGGAGATGAACCGCAACTGAGGTACATGCCCTTGACCAGAACTGAACCTGAGACTCATTGGTCCTTGGGCCATACTGTCCAGGGCTGGCCCACAGCCTTAAACTGTCATTGTCATAAATGACAATGAAAGGCTTAAGGGAGTATCACAGACTAAAGAAGATTCAGGGAGTGAAGGGCAACATTGAAAGACAACATTGCCGTAATTGTTCAAATTGGGTGTATGTTAGATAATTGTATCAACATTAAATTTTCTGGGTTTTTAAAAATTTATTATTTACTTTTATCCTTTATTGATTTTAGAGAGAAAGGAAGGGAGGGGAAGAGAGAGAGGAACATCCGTGAGAGAGAACATTGATTGACCGCCTTCTGCATGCCCCTCACTGGGGATCTGGCCCACAGCCTGGGCATGTGCCCTGATCGGGAATCCAGCTGGCAACCTCTTGATGCATGGTTTGATGCTCAACCACTGAGCCACACTGGAAACATTAAATTTTCTGTATTTGATAACTGCACTGTGCTCGTCCAGATCTCCTTTCTTAGCAACGAACTCATTTGTAATTATGGTAGATTCTGGAATTTTAGCACACTTGAGTTTTCCGTAGTAGAAGAAAAAGAAAGAAAATGGCATTGTTTTTAGTATCATGCATTATTAACTGGCACTGTGAATTACAGTGCCCCCTTGTGGTAAGAGTTCCCTTTATTCTTGGAACTGACTTGACAGAACCCAAGACTCCCAATTACTTTCAAAGCCTATAGTGTGTCAGGCATGGCACTAAACATGGAGATACATAAGCTCTTTGTGTAGCTTCTAAGCATAGAAACAAATACAGAATCACAGACTGAAATGAGCATTTTGAAGAAATCTTATTAAAGACGTTGGCTCTCTCTCAAACTTGGCGTGAAAGAGAAGGGGATTTTCCTGTCTTTTGGTGTATACTGCATTTGGGGTGGCCCTTCCACATGGCTATTGGGCCTCACCTGTTCTATACCTGATGGCCTGGGTCCCTGCTTGTCACATTACTACTTATGACTGGTAATAATAATAATACGGTTAGTGCTTTCTTATCCACGATTTAAAATAATCTTTTTAAAGTGCATTTGAGAAAAAGTGTTGATTGCTGTAAGTCAAGCTCACCTCTCTAGTCGACACTGAGTAATTTGCAGCCACAGAAAAGCCAACAGCCCCCACTTTGCATTCGTGGCAAATGGAGAGGCACTTCTCACTGCCTGTTTTTCAGATGGCTCAGAGCAGGCAGCTGGATTAAAGTCACGCGGGTGAGGGGCTTGTCTGTGATGCTCATAAGCATCCTTCATGTTGGAGGCACTGAGCAGTGGCCTCTGGTGAGGGACAGAGGAGAAAGATAGAAACGATGTCATGATGTGGAGGCTGGGGGCTAGTTTATCCAGCCCGGGTGATGAAACTGGGTTGCACAGAATCACCCAAATGGTCTGGTGACTGTTTAAAAAAGGAAGAGAACAGTTTGCTCAAACTGACACAGTTATAATATTTGGAAAAAGGAGAACTCAGCTAAATAATAGATAATAGCAATGCATATAGAATAGAAAATGTGTTTCTAGGTATTGGGTGTAGATATTTTAAACATTTTATTATGGACAATTTACTCGAAAACAAACAAAAGTAGGTAGAACAATATCATGAACCCTATGTACCCCTTGTCCATCTTTAGTATTGATTAACTTCTGGCCATTTTTTTTAAATTGATTTTAGAGAGAGAGAGAGAGAAACATTGATTTGTTATTCCACTTGTTTATGCATTCATTGGCTGTTTCTCGTATTGCTCTGACTGGGGATTGAGTTTGCAACCTTGGCATATCGGGACGATGTTCTAACCAACTGAGCTATCCTGCCAGAGTTGGCCATTCTTATTTCATCTGTGTCCCCACCCTCTCTCCACTCATCCCTGGGTTGTTTTGACATTATATTACTCGTGGGTGTAATTTTAATGTTGACAATCATCTGGAAACCAGGATGATAAAACTTACCAGCCAAGTCCTGTCTCCCAAGTCAGTGTCTCCACACAGATGGGAGTCACGATTTGGCTGATAAGTTTTATCAGCCTTGGTCTCCAGAGCTCAGCCCCTCCCTGTGCCCTCAACAACCAGAGTACATTTCACATCAGGTTTTATGTGTAAAGTTTTATTTTTGTTTTTAACCCAAAGCCCCTAAACAAACAGAAAACGTGCAAAAGCTACTGAGCGTCTGTCCCTTTCTAGGAGCTGTCCCAATGGAGGGGATCTAGCTGTAGCAGAAACAAGGACTCTGGATGCATTTCTGTCTCCCACAATTTAATCAGTGCAAATATTTGTTGACATTTTCTCTGTTTCCTATTGCCATAGTGATGCCAAGTAACAACAATCACAGAATCTCAGTAGCATACAAAATAAGCACAGCTGACCCATCCGTGGGTCCACTTCGGGTTGGCAGAACTTGGCCGGGACAGCTGGGTGGCTCTGCTCCATGTGTCTGTCATCTTCCTGCTGGACCTCATGAGCAGCCAGGGCATCTTCTCACAGTGAGGGCTGAGGTCCAAAGGAACCAGCCCTTCTGTACAGTGGGCGTGAAGCTTCTATTGCATCATGTCTACTCATGTCCCATTGACCAAAACACATCACGTGGCTGAGCCCAAAGGCAGCAGGTGGGGAAATGGGCTCACTCGCCATAAGTCCAAGCATATTGCATAGTCAAGTCTAACGTCCATAGAAATGGATGCACTCTTCTCCCACAGAAATGGGGTGAATGATTTTGAAGAGTAATCCGTTACAGATGTAAACACAGCAATTCAGCTTGATGGTTTATGATAACAAAAAGTTGCAACAACTTCAGATCTCAAATACTAGAAAGATACTTAGATAAACCATAATACATGGATGCAGCAAAATACAAAGCAGCCATTTAAAATGAGATCGAAAAGAAGTGCTGTCGTTGCAAGTTAGTCATATTGAGCCCTGGCTGGGTAGCTCAGTTGGTATGAGCGTCATCCTGATGCACCAAGGTTGGGGGTTTGATCCCCAGTCAGGGCACATGCAGGAGTCAAACAATGGATGCATAAACAAGTGGAACAACAAATCGATGTTTCTCTCTCTCCCCCTTTCTCTCTCTTTCTCTCTCTCCCCCTCTTTCTCTAAAATCAATAAAGAAAAAACATAAATAATAAAAGAAAATTAGTCATGTCATTAAATGGGAGAAAGCAGATTATGAAACTACATATACATTATGTCCCCAGTTTTGAGAAAAACTGCGTAGATTCATATTTCAGTAAGTTAAAGATGTATGCCAAGTGGTTCATGATCATCTGCGGTGGAATTCTGGAATATTTTTATCCTCTATTTCTACTCTGACAAATTTTCTAAAATGACCATATGTTACTTTTATACCAAGAAAAAAAACAACTTATTTTGAACTGTGCTCGGTGTGAAAAAATTAACATGAGAGACTGTTGTGAATTTCCTTTTTTTCTAACCTTTCAACAGGCAGCAAAGTAATGGAGAATGGCCTTCTCTTCAAAGAACTTCTGCAGACTCCCAATTTTCGCATTACGGTGGTTGACGACGCAGATACTGTTGAACTCTGCGGTGCACTCAAGGTACAGTCAGCCTTTCGTTTCTGCTCAGGGCGAGGAGTTCACGACACACGGCCGCTGTTAGCATTGAGGAGTCCAGTCCTAAAGAACGGGCCCTGTGTTCTCTGCACTCACTTCGGCAAAGAATAGTGAATCGAGAGCCTTGTTTGACACGTCCTGCTCTGCCCTGCCTTTCCTGGGTGGTTCGAGTCCCTGTCACTCTGGCTTGCGTTTTATAAGTCGGGAGAGTTGTGGCGGTTTCTTGTTTGGGCAGTTGGCAGCATGAATATTTGGGAAGTGTGGCGAGTACCTTGTGTGCAGAGTTTTACCTGGGAGCAAAGTACTTCTTTTTTTTTTTTTTTTTTATCCTCATCCGAGGACATTTTTCCATTTTTTACTCAGATAGAGCGGGGAGGAGAGAGAGGAAGAGAGAGAAACATCGACGTGAAAGGGACACATCGAGTGGCCGCCACCCACACAAACCAACCAGGGCCGGGGACAAACTGCAGCCAAGGTACATACCCTTAGCGGGAACCGAACCCGGGTCTCTCTGGACCGCAGGCCGACGCTCTAACCGCTGAGCCAAACCGGCCAGGGCGCAAAGTTCTTTTGTTAATTCCTATTTTTCTCCTACACGCTATCTTGAGTAGGAAAAGGAACTGTTTCTTCTGAATTACACACTCTATTGGTTTGATGGCTCGGTTGGTTCTCGTTAAAGGAAAAAAGTCTGCTGCTCAGGGAGGATTTTTCAAGAATAGTTTTATCTCAGGGGAAAGATCATATTCAAGAAGCAGCTCCTATTGGCCATGGCCTTAGGAGGGTAAAATAAAGGGACGTTTCCATACTTGGGCTCCTTACTTGCCTCCACTTTTTACAGACGAGGTCACGGCCCCTCTTACTGTCCTGACTCTGGGAAACAGCCAGCCGGAAGCTGAGTTGCTGAGTCATTTCTTTTATCGCAAAAGCTACTTTTTAGGAATTTGAGCGCCGAGGGAAGGAAATGGGTACCCTGGCACTCACCGCTTAGTTTGTTAGGTAAGAACTGCGAAGATTAAAAGAATGTTGAGACCGAAATCCAAAGAATGCCTTCCCACTTTCTCTAAATTATACATCATGTTTTGTCGCTAGAATTTAAAACCACTTTCTAGAATTAATAATGTGTGTGTATGTGCGGTCACGTGTCCCAGTACAATGAGAATTTAGAGAACTAAAGCCAGGCAGGGACCTGGGCTCCCAGGCAGCACGTGTCCATGTTTCTAGATGCTTGTGTGGGGCATTTTCCACGTTATAGGCAGGTCCTGTTATGCATTTGAGACGCCGGCGTTGGCTGCTTTGTTTATTTTTGTTGGTTGGGATTTTTATGTGTTTTTAATAGTCCTTCATTAGTTTAATGACCACTCGACAGCAGGGGCATCGTGAATGCCTAATTGCCCAGCACTGGTCTGTGTCTCTCCAAAGCTGTTTTTAAGTGACTGGATGTGTTTGGTGGTGAGTGACGAAGCTGTGAGATCCTGCCCAGAACAAAGGGTGCTGGGGGCGAAGGTTCTAGATCGACAGCTCTGGAAGAGCCCAGCGAATGGGACCCATGTCTGAGCTTAGAATGGCTTTTCATGTTTGTTGGCAGGAAGCTGGTGAGTGGATTGGCACCTGTTACCATGACAGTGGTTCACTGGGGGTGGAGGCAGTGGGGGTTGAGAGCCATCTATCAGCCTCCCCCTGGGCCCGCCTTTGAAACAGGATCACTCACCCTCATTCCTACTGGCTTGCCTAGGAGCTGGGATTTTTGAAAACTGGCAATTTGGCGGTAATGGAGGCTAAACATGCTGTTGTACAGATGAGAAGATGCAGATCCAGAGAGAGTAAATGACTCAGAGGTAGCAGATATTGGCACAAACCCAGTATCAATGCAGGTTTCAAGAACCTTGGTCCGGCCCTGGCTGGCAGCTTAGTGGCTAGAGCACCAGGCCCCAGCACTGGGGGCTCTCGGGTTTGGTTACTGGTCAAGAGCACGGACCAGGGTTGCAGGTTGGACCCCTGGCCTCAGTCGGGGCGCATGCGGGAGGCCACCAATCAATGATTCTCTCTCTCCTCTCTCTCTCTCTCTCTCGCTCCTTCTCCTTCCTCCCTTCCAGTCTCTAAAAATCAGTGGAAAAAAATACCTTCCAGTGAGGATTAATTTTTTAAAAATTAAAAAAAAAAAAAAAAAAGAATCTTGGTCCTGTTCCTTTGTTACTATGTGCAACCTGACTTTTCTGATTTGTGGTTTGTGTCTGGGCAGTTGAATAAAATGAATTCCTCCCTTGTCAAAGCCTGCCAAAGCCGGGACAGATGGACATATGTTTGTTTTATTACATAATTAATTGTGTTTTTCCCCTGATTATAAGAGCCGTGCTCAGTTTACAGAACAGAAAGGTAGAAAGAAGAAAGGGGAGTCCCCGAGGATCCTTGCACCCTGAGCCGACCACTGCCGTGTGCACCGTGTGGCCGGCCAGCCCTTCATCGTGTGTGTCTCCTTTGTGAGGCGAAGGCTGGACCTCACTGTTCCAATGGTGGGACGTCCTTTACGCCTTTTCACACGAGCAGCATTTAGTTATCGTCTCCATACTCGCTGATTTTAAAAAGGTACACTCTGGTTTTTGTGCTTAAAAAACATGAGGGCATGTGACTGCAAAAAAAAAAGAGAGAGAGAGAAGAAAAAGGAAAACAGCTCCTTAAAGGATAAAAATAAAAAGAAAATTCAAAGGAATTACATAGAGTCGTTTTGTACCAGTGCATCTCACTGCCTTCAGAACGCCCTACACCTCGTAACTATGTTAATCTCTGCATCAGTGACAGAATATTCTTTTTAAAATATTGACAAACCTCAGAGGAGGAGGGCGAGGGGGATGGGTGAGATAAACCACAGAACTTAGATGCTTGTGGGCGTAACCAGTGGACATAGACAACAGTGCTGGTGGGGTTGGGGGGGTGGGATTCAGAGGAGGATGTCTAGGGGGGAAAAGGAGAAACATCTGTAACAAAAATAAATTAATAAAAAGTTAAAAATAAATAGAATATTAACTTTAGCCCTGGCTGGTTTGGCTCAGCGGTTTGAGTGTCGGCCCTCGGACCAGAGTCCTGGGTTTGAGTCTGACCAAGGGCACATACTGGTTGCGGTTCAGTCCCCGGCCCTGGTTGGGATTGCAGGAGGCAACCACTCGATGTGTCTTTGTCACTTGGATGTTTCTCTCTCTCTCTCTTTTTCTCTCTCCCCCTCCCACTCTATCTGAAGATAAATGGAAAAATATCCTCGGGTTAGGATTTTAAATAAATAAAAATTATCAACTTTATTTAAGCATAATTCATGTACATTAAACTGCATCCATTTAAAATGTCTAACACAGTGGGCTTCAGCAGTTGTGTATGTCCTTCCCGGAAACCCCCACCACAGTACAGAACATTTCCATTGTCCCCAAACAATGCCACAGGTCCCTTTGCAGGTCACACCACCCTCTGCCCCGTCAGGCAGCCGCTGAACCGCTTTTGTACACAGTTCCTGGCATTTTCCGGAAATTTTCCAATCAGGTCGTACAGGATATATCCTTCTATGCCTGGCTTCTTTCACTGGGGATATATTTTTGTTTTCATGTCATTTAAGAGGTACTTCCTACAGAAAAGTTCAGAACCTATGTTGTTATTTTGAATAGATGCTTTATCGGGATTAAGTTTCTCTAACAGAGACCCAAATAACGGTGGCTGTGAACAGGTTACAGTTTGTTTCGTATGTAAACTCCTGAATCCATTGAGCTCTACTGCACACAATTCCTAGGCACCCAGGCCCCTTCCAGCTCACAAGAGTGTGGTCCTTGTTCCTGCGGAAGAGGAAGGCACTTTCCTCCGCCATCCTGGGTTCTTTTGGCGGGGCTAATAATTAAATTGATAGGAGCCAGATTAAAAAGAGAAAATAACAAAAGTTAATTATATACCTGTGTCCGGGAACCCCATATACCTGAATGAGCCAGAGAGCCCACGTACCTGAGAGGTTCAGGGACAGAAAGGGAAAATGAAGTATACGTGATTCCTGAGCCGAGGGGTGAGATGAGGTGCCGGGGGTGTCAGAGTGGAAAAGGACCGTTCACGGATTATAAGAAGAGCAGATGTTCAGTAATTGGATGCTTGCCCTGCTGTGTAAATGAGTCATAAAAACTTATTTCTGGTGATAACTCTTATTAAACTTAAACCCAATTTAGCTTTTTTAAGCGAGAGGTAAATGTTTCCCTTGAGTCTGCAGGGTCTCAGTTGCCTGCAGCTCAACATATTCACATGCCAAAGTGACACAACTTGGGGAGGCCTGTTCTGAACCACTGCATCATCCTCATGTTCTAAGATGGGGACCAGAGCTCCAACCATCACATCTGTCTTCCAGGCAGCAGGGTAAAAGAAAAAAAAGAACAAAGGACAAAGGCCACGTGGCAGCTGTCTTTTAAGGCAGGTTCTGGGAAGTCACAGTCTAATACTTTGCCTTCCCATCAATGGGCAGTACTTAATTGTGTGACTACCCAGCTGCAGGGGTAGTTACACAGTTAACTAGCCACACAGTTAACTAGTCCCCCCTGCCCTGCCCCAGGTAGCCGTATACTTACATGGAAATCAGGGACTCTTACTCTGAAAGAAGGGAGAACAGATTGGGCATAAACCCGAAACCCGTGCCACAGGCTCACGCCGCTCATTTGCAGGGCGGTCTGGGGTGAGGCTGACCACTCCTAACGCTGCAGGGTGTTGGCTTTGATAAACCCTGCTGTGATGCCAGCCTGGTGCCTAGTCTCTGCCAGACCCCTTTGGCCATCTATGGCTACACATTTACATTTAAATTAACTAAACTTAAAAATTTTTTTAATTCAGCCCTGGCCAGTTTGGCTCAGCAGTTAGAGCGTCGGCCTGCGGTCCAGAGAGACCCAGGTTCGGTTCCCGCTAAGGGTGCGTACCTCGGTTGCAGTTTGTCCCCAGCCCTAGCGGGTTGTGTGGATGACAGCCACTCAATGTGT